CATGCCTCTCACATGACAGTGACTCTTCACATGTGACAGAGGAAGAGAATGGTTTATATCTTGCTGATGTTGGATGTGGTTTCCCCACTTTGACGGCAGTGAACCTCAAAAAGGACGTTGGCAAAGTTTTCATGGAATGTTGCCTTGAATATTGTTTGGTGAAAAAAGGCCGACGGTTTATCAGGATGCATCGCGCTGGAGATTGTATCCCAGAAGGAGAAGAGGTAATGAATAGCAAGAGATCATTTTAAAACTCATTGATATCTTCTTTGTGTGTGCTTTCCTTTATTAAGTCTGTAAGTTGAATATTATTTTATGATATTTAGAGTAGGAAAATTGATGGGATGCACATATTGTGTTATACAGTTTGAAGACAGTATTTCTCAATCATTGTGGTTTATTTGTGAGTTTGTCTTAATTTTCTCATTTGGTAGGCAGTTGAGATACAAGTCATTTTGATGCTGTCAGCTGATTTATAAAAGTAATGTCAAAACTAGTTGCGTCAGTATTCCAGAATAGATTATTTACCTCATGGCTCATGTATATTGAAGGCTTGCTCATACTTAGTAATTACTAGAGTGTAGTAGCCAATTATATTTACCAAGTGTCATTCTCTCTCACAGGGCAATGTGAACTCAGAAGGTTGGCGTCCTGTTTTTTCTTTCAACCTTACTCCTCGTGACTTGAGTTTTTTTAAGCGCTCCATGAAACTAATATATGTTGATAAGGAGACATCTCCATATTTTGGCGAATTACATGCCATTTGCTACACCAACAGTCATGAGATGATAGCCATTAAAAATGAAGAACTGATACAGAGCAAAGCAGTAGAAGGAAGTACAGAGAACTCTTCTTGCAACTTAAGAAAAGTAAAATCTCGAGTAAAGCTAAGACAAGATGAATTGTTTGAAATACTATATGAAAACTTTTCTATGATCCCAAGGACAGAGGTTGATATTGCACTTCAGAGGTTTTTCAGTATAAAGTGAGAGTAAGTAGTACTGGTTCAGTGATATAGATAATAAAAAAGCATATTGACCAATAAGAAAAATGAACATTTTGAGTGGCAACTGATAGTGTCAGTGGCAGTGAGAAAGAGTGAGAGTATGAGTGAAAGCTGCAAGATAACACAATTCATTTAAGTAAAAGTAGTGCAAAATATATGAGAATGTTATTTGTATGTCTCTTGTTGTGTTAGATAGCAGATGAGTATTTTTAGGTAAGTGTTGTTAATTTTGAATGAATTTGAACTCTATTTCAGCCAAAGTAATTTCACTGGAGATATATATGTCTAACAGTTTTAACTGTAACCTCCCAAAAATAGATTTGAATGCACTATATACAATAATATCATGTTTGATATATCAGGTTGCTTTTTCTTTCCTGTTTACTTAATAACAAGCTATGTCAGTCAAAAGCACTTTGTTATTAAATTTTTATATGTAATATTTTGAACAGTTTGATATTTTTAAAAAGTATGAGTTTTAACATTTTAGTATTTTTTTTTATTTTAGTATTTAAGATTTTAGTACAACTTTAAAAATTTTAGTTGAAGCATTTAGTTTGAAAAATACTTTGAAAAAGTGGAATTAACAGTAGATATTTTCTCTTCTTCCTGTCAGGTTCTACCCAGTGGGAGAAAGTGTTCAACGTCTCCCTCAAAAGGACCTTGTTCTCAGTGGCTTCCATGTGCCAGCTGGTGTAAGACCTTGCTCTATTTTTTTACCTTGCTGATTGTCTGTTACCTTTAAAGATATATTAAAAAGGTGAAAATAGAAAAAAATGATTTAAAATATTGTCTACACTGTTAATCCATATTCATTCTTATGCAACCCCCCCCCCCACACACACACACACACACACAAACACAAAATAAAGTCCTGCATAATATTACGATATGTAAAGTGTCTAACATTGAAACACATAATATTCTATTTCCAGACGTATCTTGATCTAAATCCATACCTGTGGTTGCTGAGTGACATGTACTTCAGTGATCCTCTGGTTTTGCGTCCTGAGAGATGGCTTAGGGATTCTGCAGGAACCCTGGCAGTCGATCCCTACATTCTAAACCCATTCAGCATTGGAACTCGAATGTGTGCCGGTGAGTGCTCCTCTGATGAGGGTGTATTATACATCCAAGAGTGATCTGATATCCAAGAGTGATCTGATGTAGGTCTAGATAGTTGTATGAGAAGAAGAAAAGGATAGGGGAGTGCAGGGAAGGAAAACACACAGAAAGGAAGAGTTAAGACAGATATAGAAGTAAAAGGAAGGTGAAAATAAGAAGTGAAGAGTTGATTTAATTGGGAAGAGAAGGAGCTAAGTTAGCAGTTAAGGGTGCTTTAATATTTTTTCTTTGTATTTTGTCATCTTGCAGGGCGGAGATTTGCGGAACAGGACCTGTTTGTGGGGCTGTGCAGGCTGCTCCTCAAATACCGACTAGAAGCTACAGACAACTCCCCTCCAAGGCAAGAATGGAGTGTCTTGCTGAAGCCAAAATCTCCACTGCCAATACGATTTATTGCTAGGAAGTGATTGCAATTTTTCAAAATATTTTTTTTCTAAATGTTTATATTTCCAAAATTGCTTTTGTAGAAAAAAGTCTTTAAGTTATCTAAATTGAACAATGAATCTGCAATTTAATCTTGACATTTTTGCAAAGTAGTTCAGATTTAATGTTTAGCAGAAGTGCCTTCTACTTTTACAAACACCAACTTAACCCATTTGCCCCGGATTTATTTTCTGTCCCCTGTAGTTTTTGGTGAATTTTGTTACATACAGATGGCTCCACATGTGCTCAGCTGGCAAGGAGTCTATCAGTAGGCCCTAGTTACTGATCCTGATTTTCCCATTCATTGAATTGGCGGGAAAATTAACACCATTGCTATCGATACTGTTATTATTGTTATTAACGTTATGATTATTAAATTGCCATTAGAATATTTTAGACAATGAGATGATACAAAAAACCCTTTCCGAAAGTGAAGGAAAAGGGTAAACAGGTAAAATAGGTAGTTCTTGATAACTGGCTATTTGGTGATTAAGAACTTATGGAGCCATCTATGTGTAAATACAATAAATAAACGTGTATCGAAGTGGGCATAGCGAATGGGTTAAAAGGCAGCTTTGTATGGACAACATACATACCCATAGTGGCAGCCAAATGCAAATGTTCACAACATGTTAATGGAGAGACCTCTGCTAAACTACAGATATATTTTGACAAAGTGAATTCCTTGTTAACCCATTGGCCACGGATTTATGTTCTGTCCCCTGTTGGTTTTGGTGAATTTTGCTACCTACAGATGGCTCCACATATACTCAGCCGGCAAGGAGTCTATCAGTAGGCCCTAGTTACCGACCCTGATTTTCCCATTCATTGAATTGGCGGGAAAATTAATATCATTGCTTTCGATGCTGTTATTATTGTTACTGATGTTATGATGATTGAATTGTCATTAGAATATTTTTGACAATAAGATGATACAAAAAACCCTTTCCGAAAGTGAAGGAAAAGGCTAAACAGGTGAAATAGGTAGTTCTTGATAACTGGCTATTTGGTGATTAAGAACTTGTAGAGCCATCTAGGTGTAAATACAGTAAATAAACGTGTATCAAAGTGGGTATGGCATCTATTCTTGCCAACCGCGGCCAATGGGTTAAGTTGAGATGTTGAGATTGAAGGAAATGGAATATTTTATTTTAGATGAATGAAGGCTATTACTTACAGGCTTTTGCCATAAAACTCATTCACAAGATCTTGTCAGGGATGAATTTTTTTGTTATTTTTTGCACAAATGTTGGTAATATTGTGAAGAAATAGGCAGCAGTTAAACCATAGATGTATTTGGGTTTTGGTGCAATGAGATGTATAGATGTATTAAAATTTAAGGCAACTAAATGTTTCATGTGATATGAAAATATGTTTTACTTGTTTAAGGGAATGTATTTTTTTTATATGGCTTTGGCCATGTTCTTGAAGGTGTATTACCAGTGCATCTTCATGGAGAGAAACAATCTTTCTTAGTTGGCTGAAAACTCTGAGCTTTATTTTAGTTTTGTAAAGAAAGTCATTGGGATTGGAGATGTATGGCTAGCAATGTCTCAAATCACCAGACTAGCACTAAATAACCTCACAAACATGGAAGATATTTTAGCTTTAAACCTTTTAGTTTTTGGACTAGGGAGGATTTGAATGAAAAGATGTTATAGATGACAAATGTTTTCAATTTAATTTTTGAAGGAGAATGGTTTAAATCAACAGTGCAATCGTTTGCTTTTGTATCTTGTATGGATATAAAAGCAGCTTGAGCAGTCCAAAAGAGCTGTAGATATATAGCCTACTTATATACCATCACTTGGGTGGTATAGCTTTTTGGTAGAGAGCTGACTTTGCATATTTTTTTACTTTTTAAAGGCCTGACTGTGCTTGAGTGGCTGTTGGCATTAGTTGGAGTTAGGGACAGAAGGAACTCCATCTTGTGATTTAGTACACTAGCTCTTCTCTGGACATATCCTTTGTTATAAGACCAACTTTTTTATGTTATGGGACCAACTTTTTTTTTGCCTTTGCTATGCTATCATATTCTTTACTTATGATATTGGGTTTCCATATCAATAATATTTTGACCTGTTTACATATCAAAACTGAAGTACAAATTAAAACTGAAGTTTCACAAACACGAAAATGCACACTTAGTAAAGGTTTATTTTATAGGTAGTTGTGTTAACCCAATGCTGCCAGGGAAAATGAATAAAAAATGGGGAAAATGCTGTGCTCATTTTCTATATTTTTTGTGAAATGTCTCTGCACATAGATGTGACCTTACATGATTTGAATTGGCGGGAAAATGTATTTTTTACTAGTGCTATGAATATAGATGGTGTTATTTTTATTATAAACATTATAATTACTATAATGTTATAAACATTAGTAACAGCAAAATAAGATAACATAAAATATTTTCATAAAAGAAAAGGGTAAACAGGAGGGACAGTCAGTACTCGTAATTGGCTCATTGGTGACTTAGAACAAGTGTAGCCATCTATGTGTAAATACAATCAAACAAGTAACTCACAGTGGGCATAGCACGTACATACATGTCATGCCCGTCGGATTGGGGTTAGTCAGGAGTCTGTTTGCTCAACAATTTTAAACATTATTGATTAATTAAGATTGATCATATGAATCATTCCTGCCAAGCTTAAGTAGATGAAATATACAAAATTGAGAATTCTTGAAGAGAATTTACCTCTTGGTTTTAGTAAAGATTTGTCTTTCCTTTAGATAATTGTTAAGAATTTAAAGATTTATGTGCCATACAGTTTATCTATCAAATGTGTTTAAAGATCACTTTAAAACCATGTGAAAGATTAATATAAATGCAGTTTATAAATGCAGTTTAGAGCTGTAAGTTTTGCTACTGATGAATATGTATACTAAGGTATCTATATCAGTAATTTAAATCAGCAGTTAACTTTAAACCTCTTGATAGACTGTTTTTGTGACTGGATCGAGAGTTTGTGTGTGTGTGTGTGTGTGTGTGTGTGTGTGTGTGTGTGTGTGTGTGTGTGTGTGTGTGTGTGTGTGTGTGTGTGTGTGTGTGTGTAAGTGTGTGTGTGTGTGTGTGTGTAAGTGTGTGTGTGTGTGTGTGTAAGTGTGTGTGTGTGTGTGTGTAAGTGTGTGTGTGTGTGTGTGTGTGTGTGTGTGTGTGTGTGTGTGTGTGTGTGTGTGTGTGTGTGTGTGTGTGTGTGTGTGTGTGTGTGTGTGCGCATGTGTGCGTGTATGCGTGTAAGTGTGCGTGTGTGCAAGCATGCGTGTGCGTGCAAGTGTGCGTGTGCGTGCAAGTGTGCGTGCAAGTGTGCGTGCAAGTGTGCGTGTGCGTGCGTGTGTGTGTGTGCGTGTGCGTGTGTGCGTGTGCGTGTGTGCGTGTGTGTGTGTGCGTGTGTGTGTGTGCGTGTGTGTGTGTGCGTGTGTGTGTGTGTGTGTGTGTATGTGTGTATGTGTGTATGTGTGTATGTGCAAGTGTGTGAGCGTGTGTGTGTGCATGTGTGTGTGCGTGTGTGCATGTGTGTGTGTGTGTTTGAACTAAGTATATTCTGCAAGCTATTATACTTAAGGACTGAAAAATATATTTTTATTATAATCATTTATATATTTAATAGAACAGAATGTTGCCAGAAGGACAAATAAAAAATACAGATTAGCTTAAAATATTTTGCTATTTTACTAACCTTTCTGCTGACAGGAGTTGCATTGCTTTTTATTGCAAGCAATAACGACTGAATAGCCACAAACACTTGCCTTCAGAAAGGATGCATAGCTCTGGTGTGGACTACAAGCATCATCGTACCCATATCAAAGAGTAGCACTGACAAGTTCTGGCCTATTTCCCTCACCTCCACACTCAACCGTCTGCTCTACCGCCTGCAACCCAAGCTCTCACATCAACTGTATTGATTTCTACCTGGGCGAGGGACACACCATTGCCTTGTAGAACTCTACACCCGTAATAGCAATATAGAAATATGAAAGCAGATTTTCATTCTTTTGTGCGTATCATTCACAGCACCGTCTGAGAAGTAAAGTTTTGGAAAGGGAGATGACATGCTGCCAGAAGTAAAAGTTTTGAAGGTTCAGTCTATAAGGGAGGAGCAAGGGAAAATAGTGGTTCAACTCTTTACTCTCTTATGCATTAGTATCTATGACCTGTTGGTGATCCGAATGCAATCCCAGCATCATTGAGAAATTTGGCAGAGGACCTCTTGCCTGAGAGCTGGTCCTTGCAGGGTCTATTTCTATGTCTTAGCGATTTTGGAGAATAGAGATTAACTTTCTCAATAGTTTGCAAAAATAAAATATTGTTCTATCTATATACTATGTGAGTAACAAAAGTAAAGAATGTATTCAGTAACCAATACCGAAAGAAAACCTCGTTCAGCCGATTTGATATTGGCCTAGCATAACTGAAAATCCAGAGAGGGTGGTGCAAAAAGAGAGAAGGTGGTGCAAAGGAAGAGTGAGAATGGTGCAAACGAAGAGAGGGTGGTGCTAAAGAGAGAGGGTGGTGCAAAAGAAGAGAGAGAAAGTTGCAAAAGAAGAGAGAGAAAGGTGCAAAAGAAGAGAGAGAAAGGTGCAAGAGAAGAGAGAGAATGGTGCAAAAGAAGAGAGAGAAAGGTGCAAAAAGAGAGAGGGTGTTGCAAGAGAAGAGATAGAAAGGTGCAAAAGAAGAGCGAGAAAGGTGCAAGAGAAGAGAGAGAAAGGTGCAAAAGAAGAGAGAGAAGGTGCAAAAGAAGAGAGAATGGTGCAAAAGAAGAGAGAGAAAGATGCAAAAGAAGAGAAAGGTGCAAGAGAAGAGAGAGAAAGGTGCAAGAGAAGAGAGAGAAAGGTGCAAAAGAGAGAGAAAGGTGCAAGAGAAGAGAGAGAATGGTGCAAGAGAAGAGAGAGAAGGTGCAAAAGAAGAGAGAGAAAGGTGCAAAAGAAGAGAGAGAAAGGTGCAAAAGAAGAGAGAGAAAGGTGCGAAAGAAGGGAGAGAAAGGTGCAAAAGAAGAGAGAGAAAGGTGCAAGAGAAGAGAGAGAAAGGTGCAAAAGAAGAGAGAGAAAGGTGCAAAAGAAGAGAGAGAAAGGTGCGAAAGAAGGGAGAGAAAGGTGCAAAAGAAGAGAGAGAAAGGTGCAAAAGAAGAGAGAGAAAGGTGCGAAAGGGAGAGAAAGGTGCAAAAGAAGAGAGAGAATGGTGCAAAAGAAGAGAGAAAGGTGCGAAAGAAGAGAGAGAAAGGTGCAAGAGAAGAGAGAGAAAGGTGCAAAAGAAGAGAGAGAAAGGTGCAAAAGAAGAGAGAGAAAGGTGCAAAAGAAGAGAGAGAAAGGTGCGAAAGAAGGGAGAGAAAGGTGCAAAAGAAGAGAGAGAAAGGTGCAAAAGAAGAGAAAGGTGCAAGAGAAGAGAGAGAAAGGTGCAAGAGAAGAGAGAGAATGGTGCAAAAGAAGAGAGAAAGGTGCAAGAGAAGAGAGAGAAAGGTGCAAGAGAAGAGAGAGAAAGGTGCAAAGAAGAGAGAAAGGTGCAAAAGAAGAGAGAAGGTGCAAAAGAAGAGAGAGAAAGGTGCAAAAGAAGAGAGAGAAAGGTGCGAAAGAAGGGAGAGAAAGGTGCAAAAGAAGAGAGAGAAAGGTGCAAAAGAAGAGAAAGGTGCAAGAGAAGAGAGAGAAAGGTGCAAGAGAAGAGAGAGAATGGTGCAAAAGAAGAGAGAAAGGTGCAAGAGAAGAGAGAGAAAGGTGCAAAAGAAGAGAGAGAAAGGTGCAAAAGAAGAGAAAGGTGCAAGAGAAGAGAGAGAAAGGTGCAAGAGAAGAGAGAAAGGTGCAAGAGAAGAGAGAGAAAGGTGCAAGAGAAGAGAGAGAAAGGTGCAAAAGAAGAGAGAGAAAGGTGCAAGAGAAGAGAGAGAAAGGTGCAAAAGAAGAGGAAGGTGCAAGAGAAGAGAGAGAAAGGTGCAAAAGAAGAGAGAGAAAGGTGCAAGAGAAGAGAGAGAAAGGTGCAAAAGAAGAGAGAGAGAGGTGCAAAAAAAGAGAAAGGTGCAAGAGAAGAGAGAGAAAGGTGCAAAAGAAGAGAGAGAAAGGTGCAAAAGAAGAGAGAGAAAGGTGCAAAAGAAGAGAGAGAAAGGTGCAAGAGAAGAGAGAGAAAGGTGCAAAAGAAGAGAAAGGTGCAAGAGAAGAGAGAGAAAGGTGCAAAAGAAGAGAGAGAAAGGTGCAAAAGAAGAGAGAGAAAGGTGCAAGAGAAGAGAGAGAAAGGTGCAAAAGAAGAGAAAGGTGCAAGAGAAGAGAGAGAAAGGTGCAAAAGAAGAGAGAGAAAGGTGCGAAAGAAGAGAGAGAAAGGTGCAAGAGAAGAGAGAGAAAGGTGCAAGAGAAGAGAGAGAAAGGTGCAAAAGAAGAGAGAGAAAGGTGCAAAAGAAGAGAGAGAAAGGTGCAAAAGAAGAGAGAGAAAGGTGCAAGAGAAGAGAGAGAAAGGTGCAAGAGAAGAGAGAGAAAGGTGCAAAAGAAGAGAGAGAAAGGTGCGAAAGAAGGGAGAGAAAGGTGCGAAAGAAGAGAGAGAATGGTGCAAAAGAAGAGAGAAAATGTCCAGTCGTTTCCATAATGGATCAAGTATCGCTCCTTCTGCATGTATATACACATCATCAATCGAATTAAGTACATCTGCCATGTAACTTTTGTCTTCTGCTCAGTATCGTACGGAAACAGAATTGATCAATTTGGTTACTTATTTTGACCCTGTCTTTAAAGACTGGACACTGAGTCATTATATACTCACTTTCATAGTGTATGACTAAGAGAAGACTTACCAGGCATCATAATTCCACATACAGTACATTACAGTGCATGGTAGGGTAGAGAAGGCATTTAATACGTCAGTGATGCTGTGAAAGAGACTGTGAAATTATAATAAAACTTCGTCATGGTAACTGCTCGCTCTTAATCATACAGTTTCACTTCGCGACATCGAACTGCGATTAAATGAAAGCTTTAGAGAGATTCATTAAATCTACTAATTTTCTCTCTGTAGTTTCATCAAACTATAAGTTTGTTATCTCTACAGTGCTCTAAAAGAAGATAAAATACAAAGGCAAATGTAACACTTTATATTTCAGTTTTACATTGTTGTAAACTATTCATCCTTGTACTTATCATTTCTATTACTATAGTTATGGTAGAAAAAAACACAATGTAAAAACTAGATTTATTAAAAATGAGACAACAGTTTCGGAATCCACCTGGATTCCATCCTCAGGTCTGACTTGAGGATGGAATCCAGGTGGATTCCGAAACTGTTGTCTCATTTTTAATAAATCTAGTTTTTACATTGTGGATTTTTCAACCATAGTATGAACACGGTAGAGTGTTTTCTTCATTTACTATAGTTATAATGATAACAATAATAGTAGTAATGATAATGATTATAACTATTAGTATTGTTACTTCTGTTTATTATTATCATTATCATTACTATTATTATTGTGA